TAGCAGTGCTATTGCTGGGTCATAAGGGAGTTCTATTGTTAGTTTCCTGAGGAACCTCCACACTGTTTTCCAGAGGGGCTGTACCAGTTTACATTCCCACCAACAGTGTAGGAGGGTGCCCGTTTCTCCACATCCTCGCCAGCATCTCGAGTTCTCTGATTTGCTCATTTTAGCCACTCTGACTGGCGTGAGGTGGTATCTCAGTGTGGTTTTGATTTGGATTTCCCTGATGAGGAGGGATGCTGAGCATCGTTTCATGTGTCTATTGGCCATCTGGATGTCCTCTTTGGAGAAGTGTCTGTTCATATCTTCTGCCCATTTCTTCACTGGGTTGTTTGTTTTTCGGGCGTGGAGTTTGATGAGTTCCTTATAGATTCTGGATATTAACCCTTTATCTGATATGTCATTTGCAACTATCTTTTCCCATTCGGTTGGTTGCCTATTAATTTTCTGGGTTGTTTCCTTGGCTGTGCAGAAGCTGCACCGGCACTATCTTTAAAACAAGCACTCACCTTGATCTGTGGTCCCAGCCAGATAGTGGAGAAAGGCGGTGACCAAAGTGTCATCCTTTGAAGCCTGTTGGTGGCAAGAAGATGTCTCAAAGACTCCTCGAGGAAAGAAACTATCATAAGGGTCTTAGAGTTGGGGCTCTGGCTTCATGCTACATATTACAATTCACCAAACTTTTCAGTTGGATTCCCCTCCATCACCATAGCATCTTACCTTCTGTAGCATTCTGCACTCTTTTATGCACTGCACCTGGTGACAGGAGGCTGTGTCCCCTAAAGATAAAGGGAAATATAAAAGATCGTAGGGCAGTGGTCTTCAAACAAGTGTTGCACACTCTTCTTGTAAAGGAAGAACATTCTTGGTAACCTCCTGGTGTTGACTCAAGTTATTTTTATTTAAATTGTGCCTAATGTACGTGAATGTAAAATTAAACTCCTTTTAGGAGCGCCTGGGTGGCTTAGTCAGTTAAGCATCCGGCTTTCGCTTAGGTCATGATCTCGCGGTTCGTGGGTTCGAGCCCCGCGTCGGGCTCTGTGCTGACTGCCAGCTCAGAGCCTGGAGCCTGTTTCAGAGTCCGTGTCTCCCTCTCTCTCTGACCCTCCCCTGCTCACGCTGTCTCTCTCTCTCTCTCTCTCCCCCCGAGAAATAAAAATAAAAATATTAAAAAAAAATTAAACTCCTTTTATTTATGGCCCTGTACAAACAAAACCCCAAAACTAATTTCCAAAGTTAAATATAACCAAGACTAAATGAATGCAAAAAGTATTAAAATCAGCGGCATTAGTTAGGTGCTGTGGCTACTGCTTTGCGAGAACTGAACTGCGTCACGCCGTCTGGGTGTAATTCTTGCCGGGCACGGGCTCCGAGCTGGTCAGCGCATTGTCGTGTGATGACCCAATTCTCCCGCTGTTTTCACCTTCCAGTGGCTTTCAGATCTGACGGTGCATCTGAAGCACCTGGAAGGCTTGGGGAAACCCAGATTGTGGGGCACCACCCCCAGAGTTTCTGATCCCGTGAGTCTGGGGTGGAGCCCAAGAATTTGCAGATCCAACATTTCCAGGTAATGCTGCTCTCCTGCCAGGTACCGCGCTTTGGCAATCACCCCGAAGCCCACTTCTGTTCTCTTCTTGTTAGCCTGTGGCAGTGAAAGCAATATATTTTGGCAAAGATGGTGTGTTGGTAAACACAAATGCAAAAGAAAGCGCCGAAATCAAGTGAATACTTGGTTGCATGGTTGAAATCTGGCATGTACTTGGTTAGATGGTGGCCATCCAATGGCCCGGGTTAAGGTTTGCAGGATGTTTTAGTAAATCACTAAAAGAAAATAAAAAAAGAACTGCCGAGCCCCTGAGGATGTGTCCTTTGTACCTCAGTCTGAGAAACGGTGCGTGGTTGGGTATTAGAAAACATTTACCTATGGGAACAAATGATATTGTGTAAGTACTGGGCTCTTCAGCTTTAGGTATGAACCTTAGACCAAAACAGAGGCGCAGAGAAGCGAGCAAGGACAGAGAAGATGGGTCTGGTCCCTTAACCTGAGCGTAGAAGACAGGGACCACGGCTTTGTCCTGGGAAGCCTTCCTTGTGCCTAGAGCTGCCCTGAATGGAATGAGCTGGATTGAGGGGGTTGGAAGGAAAGACTTCTCTCTCTCTTTTTTTTTTTTTTTTTTACAAATAGTTTATTGTCAAGTTGGTTTCCATATAACACCCAGTGCTCATCCCCACAAGTGCCCTCCTCCATGCCCATCTCCCCCCTCCCCCCCACATCCATCAGTCCTCAGTTTGATTCTCAGTATTCAAGAGTCTCTCATGGTTTGCCTCTCTCCCTTTCCCCCACCATTTCCCCCCTTCTTCTCCCCAACGGTCCTCCGTTAAGTTCCTCCTAATCCTCCTATACGTGCAAACATATGATATTTGTCCTTCTCTGCCTGACTTATTTCGCTCAGCGTAACACCCTCAAGTTCCAACCACGTCACTACACATGGCCAGATGTCATTCTTTCTCATTGCCATGGAGTATTCCATCATATAGATAAACCACATCTTCTTGATCCATTCGTCTGTTGATGGACACTTAGGCTCGGAAAGACTTGTCTTGAAAGTTGCCCAGAGGCCTCCAATAACAACTTTGTGGATGTTTTGGGGTGTGTGTGTTGGGGGGGGTTCCCATTTACAAAAGCCACGTGTCCAAGACCCCTTTGGATACAGAAATTCTACAACTGGCAGGGGTTTGGTGGACTCCTTAGTTTTCTCTCTTATTGGCCTCCAAGAATCCTCCAAGTTGGATTGTTCTGCTGTCTCTCAAACGGATCCACAGGGCAGCGTTGTGTGGTAGGTCCCCCCCCCTACCCCAGCTTCCTCAGTCCTGATACTCGTCCCACCATTCTTCTCTATTTCCAGATTTGTGGCTTGGCACATCTCCTTGAGAGATCTCGTGCTTATCAGCCTTTCTCTCTGGGGCCTCCCATTCCTCCCAATCAGACCCCACCAGCAGCGTGCCGACTTACTGCCCCAGGCTCCTGCTCCCCATCTTGAGCCCCTTATATCCACTTGATACCAGTCGACCCCTCCCCCGGTTATGTGGCTGTGGGACTTTAACTCACCTGACATCCAGTCTTGTCCTGGGGAACATGTGCCACCAAACACATAGGGAGACGCCGTACATGGCTCTGTGGGTGCCCGCTTCATTCTTGTCTCCATTTCTTGTGCCCAGTTTATTGTCCCCGTCCCAAAGGCACATAAACTCACACACAGATACCCACCACTCCCCCATGCAGGCCACCTGCCGTCAAGTACTTAGTATAGACTTCTTCCTCCCTTAATTGAACCCTCCGTGGTCAGAAGCAGCAGCAGCAGCGTTCATTTCCACCCCCCCCCCCCCGCATTCATTGCTACTTGAAAGGGTTGTGCTTAGTTATTTGGTTACTTGTTGATGGTCCAAGTCAACAGTTCAAGATGGCAGGGCTTTGTCTGGTTGACCCCCTCCCGGCATCCGTACCACTGCCTGGGTTGGGGAGCCTGCCAGCAAATGTTTGTGGACAGATGCTTACAAATGTGTCTGTGTCACTCTGCTGTGAGTTACAGGGCAGGAGCCAGTCTTAGCGTTATGTCTGCAACTTGAGAGTGATTTCTAGCTGGAGCCCGTGGGCTCTGTACCTGTCGTGATCTGGGGCCCTGTAATTCAGGGGCACCTCCGTAGAACTGGTCCCCAAAGGGTTTTAATTTCAGTCAGTCTCACTGGATTTGTTTTGACTGGAAATCCCATTGCGTGTTTTGAAAACATATTCCCTTGGGCACTTTTGAACACTTGAGACCTCTTGGCAGACAGGCATTTCATCCCCATCAGGAAATCTCATCAAAATGATATTAGGTTTGCACATCAGGCAAATAAAAGTCCTCCAGGAAGATGTCACTGGATTGGCTGCGGATATAAGCAGTTAAGCCCATTTAGAAGGTATTTCGACCACATCTGACAGAGTGGGCAGCGGCGGCGTGGCAGAATCTCACAATGAACAATGACATAAAAAGTCAGAGCGGGAAGGAGACACCTCTCCCTCCCCCAAGATCGGCCCTGAGGGAATTCTCTAGTTACAAGCCCAAACAGAATTCAAGGGAATAGCAACAGGCCAGTTTGGGGTATGAGATTTTTATTTCAAAGGGCTGCAAAGTAACCAGGCCTGCTGGCTAGGCTGTGACTTGCCTTCTGTGGCAGGGTCTTGCCCTGTATTTTTTTTGTCTGGCCGCCTCCGGACTGCACCTTGTAAGCCATCCTTGGAAAACCACATAATGGCAAGATGACTTCCATTCAAAGTTCCTAGCATGCTCCTGGTATTTTTTGCATTATTTGGTCTGGATTTCCTTCCTTCTGGAAGGAAACGTGGTTTCCCTTCCTTAGAGGGTAGCTTTTGAAGTTCGGTAGACTCCTTTGATCACCATAGGCCATTGTCCAAGTCTAGAAGCAAGCTTTTACCCATGCCTTTCACTTTTGCTGCTTCGGTGTGGTGCTGAGTTTTCTAGAAAGAGGGCCTCTTGAGGTCAGTGTGCAGGGCACAGGGCTGAAGCTTCGCCAAACCTGTGCCCTATCTGTCTTCCCTTCCCTGGGGGGTGGGGGAGGCCTCATTCTGGTCTCATGCTTTGGTGTCTCTCTTTCCAGAGGCGTGAACATGTATGCCATGTTGACTGGGACCCTGCCTTTCACGGTGGAGCCTTTTAGCCTGAGGGCTTTGTACCAGAAGATGGTGGACAAGGAAATGAACCCCCTCCCCACCCAGCTCTCCACAGGTAATGCGCCCGCCGCCCTTGGGTTCCTGGTTTCGGGACTTGGTCGCCTACCAGGGTTGGTCCATCTGTGAAGTAGTATGTTTTGCAGAAGTGATATTAGGCCTTTTCCTAGGATTAAGCCGTGACTCCAGGGTGGTTGAGTTTCCCATCGCTAAGCAACCCTTCATCTCACCTCAGTCCCTTTCTTCTCCATTATAATTCTGAACACCTAACTTCCTTCTTCCTCCTTCTGCACAAAACACACATTTCGAAGGATCTTGGAAAAAGAAATGCAGTCTTGATTGTTTTGAAACGCACCATATTGTAATGTTGACTTTGAAAAAAGCTTTTATAATCACATTTCCGTTGTGTTTTCCTTAGTCAATTCCCTGTAAAGAAATATTAGATTCATTCAAGTATGGTCTGTGGTTTGTCTTGCTATTTGAGAGTTTGAGCCTGTTCAAAAGCGTTTAAATATATATAGTTTCAGTAACTTGATTAGACTGAATCATCAGGTGTGTTTGGAAAGTATCCTCAAACTTAAGGTGGTTCACATTTCAGTAAACAGTTCGTATTAAGATTTGGCTTCAGATCCTGTAAATTAGCACAATTTCTTCTTTTGTTTGGGTCACAATTCACGTCAAGTTCCTGGCTTCAGGTTGGCCCTGGTAATTATTTAATTGGCTCCGTAGAATAAACTCAGCTTCACTGAGATAAGGCATGTGACCAGAAAAAAAAAATCATTTAATTTCAACTTATGATACATGCTTAAAATACAGCATTTAATTTTACTACTGTTATGCATTTTTCTCTTGAGTTTATAAAACATCCATGAAGCCGACCTTGAATTTATGTTTGCCAAATGGAATCCAAGCTGAAATGCATTCTTTTCCTAAAAAAAAAAAAAAGTTTGTTTGTTTATTTGTTTATTTATTTATTTATTCATTTTGAGAGAGAAAGAGAGCTCATGAACAGGAGAGGGGCAGAGAGAGAGAGAGAGAGAGAGAGAGAGAGAGATTCCCAAGCAGGCTCCATGCTGTCAGCACAGAGGCTCATGAGGGGCTTAATCCTGTGAACTGTGAGATCATGACCTGGGCCGAAATCAAGAGTTGGGTGCTTAACCAACTGAGCCAACCAGGTGCCCCATGAAATGCATTCTTGCATGTAATGGTCTAATTTGGTCTGTACTTTCATCTTTGCTAGGGAGGGTAGACTCTCTTGTGCCCTCCTGCCTAGAAAAGGCAGGCAGGGCTCACGTTGAATCCCAGTGAGATCCTGAAGGGCTGGAGAACTGCTTCTCATTGTTTTAGTCAGGGTGAGCCAGGTTATGCCACAGTAAGAAATAGCCCCCAGATCTCAGTGGCTTAAGACAATAAAGACTTCTTTTTCATTCGTACCACGTGATCTGTTGAGAGTTGACTCAAGAGTTGAGGGATTCTGCCCATCCTCGTCAGTCAGGGTCCCAGACTGATGGAGCAGCCACCGTTTCAAACATACCTGGTCCATGTGGAGGAAGAGAGAAGTCTAGAACACCTCTCATCAGCAATTAAGTCTCCCACCGGTGTTCTGCTCACAACTCCTAACTTTCTGAAGCATGTCACATGGCTTTACCCAACTAAAGCCAATGGGGAAATACAACCCTACTATGTTTCTAGAAGGCAGAAACCCAGAAATATCTGTGGAACGGCATGAGTGTGAGCCACAGGCTGGGGGAGGAGGAGCAGATGGTCCGGCCTGTGATCGTTCTCTCGGTGGGCTACTCGGCAAGGCAAGGCCGGTCAATGAGCAGCCCAGGAATTCATTCTTAACTGCTTTAGATCCAGCATTGTTTTAACCCCAGTCATATTATCTGGACTCAGCGGGCTGGCCTCTGACTGTTTGCTGATAGTGAAAATTAACTTTACCTTAAAGAAGTAGAAGCCACACCCCTGATGATGTTTAAAAACTAGTCCAGAGGAAATTCCAAAGAAGACGTAATGGAAATGTTCTGCATGAGCATCCCTGGGGTTAGCTCCTGCTCTGAGCACACAGCTCTGACTTTGGCCTGAAGCTCTGTGTGTGCCTTTTAAAGATCTTCGCATTCCTACAGGACTCTGTTGTCTTGGCTTGTCAAGCTCGAACAAGCAAGAACTGCATTTCTCTATTTGATTTTCCAATTAGGGAATCTGGACTCCTCCCAGATTTTTTTTTTTTTTTTTTTTTTTTTTAATATTGGGATAGAGAAGAATTTCTCCTCGACCAGGGCTTTACAGCTCAGTGCTAGGTACCAAGCACAGTGTTTGCACAGAACAGATGCCCAGGGAATCTAGGTCGCTTACTCTGTTGGCAGAGCGTGTGGCCCAGGAAGGCAGCCCACAGATCTGCCCTGCTGCTCAGGGATGGGACCTGACCCGACGCACTGGGCCCCGGAGCTGGGTGCTCGCTGCCAGGCCAGTGCACGTCATCTTAGCTTTGTTTACACAGTGAATGACTTCAGTTTCAGAGATCATTCCCATGCCTTCTGACAGCCCCCGGTTTCTCTAGCCCTTTGCCCTTCAAACCCTGCCAGGTTTACCTCTTCTCCTTCCCACCTAGCTTGCCCCAACTTCATTTATGATACTGCTTGTTTGTATCCAAACACACTCGCCTACCAGTAACCAGAGCAGCGGAATGGACAGGTTTAAGTGCTTTGTACGTTATCGTTTATTCTCATAACAACCGTGCAAGCTAACTACTCTTATTCCCAATGTATCAGGGATGAAACAGAGTCTCAATGAGGCTATGTGGCCTCTCTGTTTTTGATTTTATGTCTGTTTCATCCCCAAACCTGGATTTCCTCTCCCTTTCCTTATTTTATTTGCTATAAGATGCTTCCCCTTCCTCCAGATTTGAGGGGATTACCTATTGTTTTTATGTTTTGAATAATGTCAAAATTGAGATGCCCAAATTGAAAATAGACCAGGTTCATTAAACGTCTTAACAGCACATCTTTAACTGAATTATCCTATCACTCATAGTTGTAATGATCTCTCCATCTGTATTGTATAATAGTACAATTAGATTCAGTTGGGATAATTTTGGCCAAGTTGAAAAAAACACAGCGCTATTGCCCTTGTGAGTCCATGGTGCATGCTTCCAAAGAATGGCCCCTCACCTCTACCATGTAGTTTGAAAACTTAAGCCTCTGGGATCTTTCCAGTTCTTGCCTCTAGAGAGTCTCTCTCCGCTTGCTGGCACTTGCCTATCACGGAGTCAGGAATGCCTTTCACGGCTTATGCATTTTTCAGACAGTTTACCTTTACATCACTGTATCTCATGGATGGTACTCGTACATTCCAAGCAATCACTTCAGATCAAGAGGGTTTTGCACCATGAAATCATGGAAGTGAAGCCGAAGGTGAGTCATTCGCATTTGTAAGGGTTGAGCCAAAACCAGTTTAAGATTTTTGAGAAGGTTCAACCGTCATCAAATACTTGTTCGTGATGCTTCTGCCTAGGAAGTGATAAGGAAGGAGACTTGGGTGGGGTTGGGACTCCACTCGCAGGCGATGGGCTGTACCGCTGCAAAAGGTCCGATGGCTCTGTCTGTGTCCTGTTGCCTTTTCCCTGGGCAGTGTCAGGGCACTTACACAAACCAGTCCAGACTCTGGAAAGCAGACTCCTCATGGAGGAAAGCAGGCTTTGCACCAGAAGTGTGTATGCATATGACGTGGAGCATGGAGAGGGAGCTGTCTGTGTGGGTCCTCCCTACCCTTGGGCCTGAAGGGAGACCCCAATTCCTAGCTTCCTAGCTTAGAAGAATGGGGGGCAGAGGCACCTGGGTGGCTCAGTTAGTTAAGCATCTGACTTCGGCTCAGGTCATGATCTCACGGTTCATGATTTCGAGCCCCATATCGAGCTCCATGCTGAGTGCTCAGAGCCTGGAGCCTGCTTCACATTCTGTGGCTCTCTCTCTCTCCCTGCTCCTCCACCACTCACACTCTTGTATCTCTCTGTCGGGGGGGCAGGGGGCGGGGTGCAGTGACTGGCCATGCCTGCCATGGCTTTCCAGGAAAATGGAGAATTTTAATCCCTTTTGGGTCATGAAACCTAGGGATTTTCAAGACCCCAACACAAACTTTTTCAAAGAACTCTAACGATATTTGCAAAAGTCCTTTTCAGAGAGTAATGCAACATTTGTGATGTCCAAAGAACTAAAATTCATCAGTAGAGATTAGAACTAAAATTACTTGTGCTCATCAGCAGTTTGTGAAGATGCAGAGTGCGTAGTTCTGAAAATAGAACAAAAACGCACATCCAGTCTGTTCTTAGCTCTTCTGGTTAATCATACTCGGAAAAAGCCTGGCAGTAGCCCGGGTTGTATGGGTCCTTTGAGGGTAAGCGACAGAGATGTCTCAGAAGCATCATGCATTCACAGCCTCCGCATTTCAATTCATTAAGGCTGCATCTTTTTTATTTGATCAATAGAAGTCCCTGATTAGGCATCCAGATGACTCTTGCAACGTAGAGGAATCGAGAGAAGAGGAATAAAGTTTCCAAAAACAAGAACCTCTTTTTTTTTTGGACATCTGTTTGCTTTTCAGACCATTGAAGAACATTTTAGGAAAGTTTTATTTGGAGACCCAGCTATAAAACTCCAAGAGTATTAAATGTACCCCATGACTGTCTACATGTGTTATTTTTACCTGCTACATTCTTAAAGAGAAATGACCTTCTGATGATCACATCAGCTGTGTGGGAACTCATTGGAGGGGTCACCTGGTGGCCTGATCCAATTAAAGTTGTTTCTTTTGGGTTGATTCTGGCATCGCCATCAGCCCCTCTTTTGATGGCTTGATATCTACACTACAGAAAATGAGTTGACAGAAAACCCCCACGGTTTTCTAAGGACAGTACTGAAATGACAACCCAAGCCTGTGAGGATGTGGGAATTCTTAACGGCTTTTCTTTGTAAGGTTAGGTTATGTTAGAAAATTGAAAGATAGCTTTGGAGAGAAGGATAAAAAAGTTTGGAAACCAAACAAATAAGGATTGTCTTCTGGAAATATTAACGTGGTGTATTGGAAATTGGATATCATGTGCAAAGCTACATAAAAGAATGTTATTAAAAATTATTTTTAATGTTTTTATTTTTATTTATTTATTTTTTAAATGTTTTTATTTATTTCTAGGAGAGAGAGAGAGAGACAGTGTGAGCAGGGGAGGGTCAGAGAGAGAGGGAATCACAGACTGAAACAGGCTCCAGGCTCTGAGCTGGCTGTCAGCAGAGAGCCCGAAGTGGGGCTCGAACCCACAGACTGCGAGATCATGACCTAAGCGAAAGTCGGACGCTTAACCGACTAAGCCACCCAGGTGCCCCTTAATGTTTTTATTTTTGAGAGAGAGAGACAGAGCATGAGTGGGGAGGGGCAGAGAGAGAGGGAGACACAAATCAAAAGCAGGCTCCAGGCTCCGAGCTGTCAGCACAGAGCCCGACATGGGGCTCAAAACCACGAGCTGCGAGATCATGACGTGAGCCAAAGTCAGATGCTTAACCTACTGAGCCACCCAGGCACCCCAAGAATATTTTTTATAGTGCCAAAATGATATGACAGTGCTCTGTAAGATAAGCAGTACAGAATGAAAACAAAATCACAGTCCCACAACTCAAGCAATACAGGCCACCTTCATTTGGAAGTAGTCGGTCCTTGGCATTCTTTGTCCAAGTGTGTTCATGTATATTCTCAGGCTCGCAGTTTTGGAGCCTGCGACCTTCCTGTGCATTATTCACATATTTTTTCCAGGTCATGTAGTTGTCTCCATTATTATGATCTTAAAGGATGGAAATACCTCCTTAGAGATGCACCAGCCTCCTCTTCCTCGTGCTGGCTGGACCTCAGGGCTTTGTAAATATTCATTTAATGAAAGGAGACCCAGGGCATTTGAAAAAATCACTTTGGCTTCTGCGTGAGATGGAGGAGAAGGGGGTTGCAGGGATCTTCTAGTTCATCTGTCGATTCTCATACCCTTTTCTTATGTACCACGCTCAGCCGAACTGTCGTGACTACAGCGAAGTTGAGTAGGCTGCCAAATAAAAACAACACAATGTTGGCAACACAGCATGCCTAAGCACCCCTGCATTTTGAGGGGACGCACAAAATGAAGGAAAGGGCCCGTCAAGTAGATGTGGTTCTATAGTGTGGTGCTTACTGGAACTTGGTACACAAACCAGGGAGTTAAAATTTGTGTTAGAGCCTGGGTGGCTCAGTCAGTTAAGCATCTGGCTTCGGGTCATGAGTTCGAGCCCCGCATCGGGCTCTGTGCTGACAACTCAGAGTCTGGAGCCTGCTTCGGATTCTGGCTTTCCATCTGTCCCTGGCCCTCCCTTGCCCGTACTCTGTCTCTCTCTCCTTCAAAAATAAATACACATTAAACAGAATTTTTTAAAAAATTGAGCTACAGAGTTTACTTACACCATAACCCAGACTGGCCCTCTGACTGGCCTGGCTACCCATATATGTGGGCTATAGTTGATTTGGGTGCTGCGTGGTCAGTTCAGAGTCTGGGGACTCAGTAGATGGCCATACAAAATGGCTTTAAAAGAAAGGACCAGAAAGAGAGCAGGACCTCCCTGGGCCTCAGGAGACTGTGTGTCAATTGGTGAGGGGCAAGACAGGGGGTATAATTTTGAATGCCTTCATTCTCTGGTTCCTTTCCGAGAACTCAAAAACCCACTTTGAGGACAAGCATTTTCTCTTTACTTTCTTCCATCCCTGTATTACAAGCCTGCAAATAGCATGTCTCTCTGTATCACCTTTAGGGATAGAACGCGAGCTAAGACCACAGGCTGTGGCGGGAGGTGCAGGGCATGGGGAGAGACCCGAATTGGTTCTTGCTTTACATGCTCCAGCTGTATTCCTTGGACAGATACCTTAAACTCTCCGGACTTGGGGCACCTGCAGATCCAGGGACTAGGTCAAGGCTGGCAATGACTCAGGAGCGGTGGTGGGGCACCTGCTTTGAGTCTCGGGGGCATCTGCGTTCAGCCTGTAACGTGCGTGCGTGTCTGCCGAATGTCTTCACAGGCGCCATCAACTTCCTGCGCTCTCTCCTCGAACCGGACCCTGTGAAGAGGCCCAATATTCAGCAAGCACTGGCGAATCGCTGGCTTAATGAGAATTATACGGGCAAAGTGCCGTGTAATGTCACCTATCCCAACAGGTAATCAGGTGCACACAGAGGGGTCTCTTCTTGGGCCAGATGAGGCAGTCTTCTGAGTGCTGAAAACTTGTGGACTGGAAGCTGTACATGACTCAAGGAAAAGCTGCCCTTTCCCCCCCTCTGCGCACAGTAGGAAGTGTAGACAGGGCCATCCCATGTGGGTGGCAGGGGGCACCCAGCAGAGGGTGGGTGGAGGCTGTGATCTGTACCACATTCCCCTTGTCAGACTTGCCCCAGGGGTCTACATCTTCCGTCTTCTCCGAGTGCCACCTCTTTCTACGTCACACAAACAGACCATTTAGGCTCGCTGTGGCCTGAGTGTGTGAGTGAGTGTGTGTGTGTGTGTCTGTGTTTGAGCATGTCTGTGACTATCCGGTTGTGTGTATGTGCATGTGTGTGTGTTTGTGAGCGTGTGTGTCTGTGAGTGTATGTGGTTGTGTTTGTGTGTGAGACCCGTTCACGAGCTCTCCGGCCTGGAGAGTCCAGTGGGACTGACCCCCTCCCCTTCCAAGCCACCCCTTAGGCTCCTCCTCGGCCACTTCTCTGCTCTGATGTTTATTTCAGCCCCGAGTCCCTTGCCTTAGAATGTTGGGGGTGGGAGGCAAAGGCAGTAGAAGAAGTCAGTCGCTGCAGGCCATGTTTCCCTGTGCACTTCCTGTGAAGGCCACGCTGTAGCAGCGTCCACGAGGAGAATGCTGTGGGGCAGGCTTGCGGGCAGGGATCCACAGCAAGGAAATGCTGAGGGGCACCTCGTGATGGCCCACACGTCCCCGTCACAGCTGTACTGACTATAGATTTGAAAACAAGTGCAAGACATTTTTTTGTACTTTCTTCCTACTTATTTGACATATTGTTAACTGACCCGAGTGAAGGAATGAGGACCCTCACCTTGGTTCCCTTAGAGCAAACATGAAGACCATGTAGGACAAATACCTTCCAGGACTGGGACCCACATTCCAGGTCCCAGACCTGCTCACTCTAGGCTGAAGCTCAGATGAGGACAAAAGGACCACCAAGGAAGGGAGACAGATATTTACAAGATGTCCGGGAAGGTCTGGAAACATCCACCAAACCTTAGGAAGGCTGTCACGCTGAACTCTTTAAATAGGATGGGCAGTCAGGGCTCTGTCTTGGGGAGTAAGTTCTAGAAGAACTTAAGAGGCCTTGGGCGGAGTCTGTATCCATGCCGCTGAGCCATATTGACACACACCGTGGCTGAGGTGGTTTCACTCAGCCGCCATCTAGAATTCTAGCATTTGACTCACGAGACGTAATTTAAACAAAGTCTAGTTACTTAGGTTACCAAGGGAACCTGAAGCTCATTTCCACCACTGGCTCCCCTTGGCCCATACCTGAAACAGACACCAGAAAGATACCCTCCATGTGAGATGGAAGGTAAAGCCGAGGAGCCGTGCCTCATTACCAGTGCTCACAAAGGATGGCAGCACACAGGTATGCCGTCCGCTAAAGGAGGGGGCACTGGTGACCGCCACACGAGTCATTAAGCTAATGTGCTCACTGCCTAAATGAGTATAATCAATCCACTCAGCATGGCAGCCATTGGAAGGAAGCAACGGTGGTATTAGAAATACCGTCTTTCCCTCCTTGATGGCCGCGTCTTCATTCACAGCGAATCACTCCGTGGCGCCTCACTCTGTAGCTTTTCCGCAGGTTGTACACAGGCCCCTTGTGGATTACAACTCAAACCCAAATATCACCTGCTCTTTTTGTCAGATCAGAAATTTTTGCACTTGGACTTGGTCGGAAGCATAAAGGCTGCACCTGAACTAGTTGGATCGAGGCAGTGGCCGAGACACAGATCATGTGTATCAAAGAAAACAGCAGCTCATGTTCTTCTGTTTATCTGTGGCCCATTCCTCATTTTGTACCCGAGGCAGATTCATGTTGGGGTTTTAAAGTGCTGGAACCAGAAATCAGAACTTGGGGGAGGCAGATGTTGTTTACAGCCTTTATTTTGAAAAATGTGTAAGGCAAAAAAAAGCACTTTGGATAGTTCTTTATTTTTTTTTTTAAGGTTTTCTTTTTTAATTATTTTTGAGAGAGTGCAAGCAGGGGATGGGCAGAGATGGGGACAGAAAGACAGATCCATGCTGACAGCAGTGAGCCTGATGCGGGGCTTGAACCCTCAACTATGTATGAGATCATGACCTGAACCCAAGTCAGACACTCAACTGACTGAGCCACCCAGGCGCCCTGACAGTAATTTTTCTGGTTTGACCAGCACATAGATTAATAGAGTAAGAACATGTGATCAGGGAAAGGAATATAGGCTTTATTATAAAGTATGTTTTACAGCTTCCCAACATACCTAGCCTTAGGTTTTATTATTTTAGACGTTGTTAAAACTGTTTCACTTTGGGGAAATAGATAAAGGGTTATGTTTTATATCACTCTTCTGTAAAGCCTTTTGTTAAGTCATTTGGGGCTCCAAGTTGATCTCCAGAAAGCAAGAGGAAAATGTCTTTAAAAGTATGCTTTTTATATTCATGCCAGCCAGTCAGCAGTTTTGCTGTGTGCCAGGCTAGCCTCCCTGTTCTGAGAGCAGATATTTTTATGGAGGTGACCTTGTCTGCCTTCTGCCCTCTCCCTCCTGGGGCCTGGACAGTGTTCCACCCTTCCAGTTAGCTCTGCAGATGGGTGGGAGGGAAAGGAGGTCATTGGTAACCCAGGAAAGAATTGGGCCAGAGTGGTCCAACACGAGATTTAATGCGAATTTACTTAGAATTATGCCTCGTGTTCTGGAATGTTTGACTAGTGACTGTATTATCCAAACAGAGGGAGATGATAAATAACTGATATTGCAACTGATATTGCAGAATACCAAATATACATGCCACTTACTGAATACGTTTAAAATAGGGGCACCTGAGTGGCTCGGTCGGTTGAGCATCTGACTCTTGATTTCGGCTCAGGTCATGATCCCAGGGTTGTGAGATAGAGCCCTATCTGGGTTCCCACGTGTAGACTGTGTGCATGTGCCCACCCCCCCTTGTTCTCGCTCTCACTTTCTCTCTAATTAAAAAAAAATAGTACTCTCTAACAAGAGAGTCGGCAGTGTCTTTGGCAGAGCTATATTTCTGAAGACAGTGGAATTGAAGGGCAGAGAGGGAGTGCCGGCCCCCGCTTACTGCCCCCTTTCACCTCCCCCCTTCTCCTAGAGAGCTCTCCCTTCCCGTTTGCTCCCGGCAGAGAGCAGGCTTCCAGGATGTTGCTGGGCTGATTGGCCACGGGCACCTCGTGTAGCTCTGATCTGATAGGCCAGGGACAAGGCCATGAGGCTGTGGTCTGATTGGCCAAGGACAAGGAACAGGGCAGTCATCTGATTGGCCAGGAGCAGGGCCACTCCCACGCAGGCATTGCTGGGTAGTTTCCAACAATGGAGTCTTGTGCCTTTTAGTAAGTGCTTTGGCAAACTTCACATATTGTATGATTTTTTTTAACAAACGTTATATTTTACCACTCGTCATGGGTGTTATGGTCTGAGGTCCCATAAAAAAATGTCTTTAGACCCTTCGGGGTGAGGGGTGGGATACAGAGCTCTCCGGCCAGATGTGCTTGCCTTCTGCTCAGAGTGCCCCGTTTGTATCTCTCTTAAGGGATTTAGAAAGTTCTATTTGATGATGTACCAGTTACCAACACACATACACTCTGTATTCCTCAGCCTGCTTTCCTGTCTGCATAGCCATTCGACGTGTCTGTTTATTTGAGAGCTGGTGAGTGTAGAGGTTTAGCATCTAGACTCTGAGCTGGGCTGCCAGGGTTTTGAATTGTGGAGCTGCTGCGTCCTGCCTCTGTGACCCAGGGCAAGTTACTTCATAGCTGTGGGCCTCAGTTTCTTCTTGTAAAATGGGGAAGATAATAGTACCTATTCATAGGATTGTCAGGAAGACTAAATGCATTTATTTCCTCTGTTTCCCACCGGAATGTAGACTGCATGAGATAGGGGCTTGTTGAATGAGTAGATGAACGAATGCCTGGCATTCATTTCTTCCTAAGGAGTTTATCTTCATAATATTCCTGTGAAGAAACTTTAATCTGTCCTCTGGGAGGACCCTATTTAACAACCGAGCCCCAAACTCCTATTTGTGAGCGTGGGAGCTCACACTGTTTCTTGAAACACAATCTGCACTGGCTCCTGAATGTGCTCCTTTCCTAACCCAGCTTACACCCAACTCGAGTGTGGGCTCCACCTGTGTCCAAGAAGTACAGTTTTAGAAAACAATGCCAGTTTGTAAGCAAATTTAGAGACACTTGGGGACATATTAACATAATCCAGGCATTAGAGAATACTAAGAAATTATTAAAGTTCTGTTGGGTGTGTGGATGGCATTGTGATTCTGCAGATGTCCTTGGATCTTAAAGGTGCACCCTGGGGTGTTGAGGAATGAAGTGTCATGGTGTGTGTGATTCAAAATACTTGAGCAATAAGTAAACAAAGAAATAAATAAATGAAAATATGGCAAAGTGTTAACAGCAGTATATTCTGGTGTTAGGTACACAAAAGGTATTTACACTCTTCCCTCTACTTTACTGTGTGAAATTCTTCATCCCAAAAAGTCAACCCAAAGAATGAATGAGTTAATGAATGAATGAATGGGTATGATTGTCCCCAAGGGCCTGGGGTAAGGAGGGGGGCTGTGCTTTGTGCCGCCATGTTTGTGACCCGACCCAGGAGGATCCAGAGCCTCTTGGTGGCGGTGGTGAGGTGACGGGTTCTCTCTCTGCTGTGCAGGATTTCCCTGGAGGACCTGAGCCCAAGTGTGGTGCTTCACATGACAGAGAAGCTGGGCTACAAGAACAGCGACGTGATCAACACTGTGCTCTCCAACCGCGCCTGCCACATCCTCGCCATCTACTTCCTCTTAAACAAGAAACTCGAGCGCTATTTGTCCGGGGTGAGTGGGGCCCTAGTGGAGGTTTTCTCGGCTCCCCATGGAAAAAGGAGCTCTCCTTACACCCAGAGTGTTTCTCAGTTGTCGACACTTGATCTAAGCTGTTAATTTGAACTAATGGGAGGCAGAGTTTCTGAATGTGGGATAAAATAGTAGCAAAACCTGCTTCTCAGGTAGCTCAAGCTTTTTATCTGAGGTGTTTTTCAAATATCCTCCCCCAGAGTTAAGCCCTGGGCGGCACTGTGAGAGAGTCAAGCCTCTTTTCTTTTTCGTTTCTCTGTTGCCTTTTCTGTCTACAGCTCCTTGGGTTCCCATGTTAAAGGCATTGGGGTTTCTGTGGTCATAAAAGTTGAGGAGCAGTGCCTCTCGGGCATTGATCTCGAAAGCAGGATTTATGAGGAAGGCATTTTTTATAGTTACTTCTCCCGAAGGTGAAAATGAAATTGAGCTTTACTGGCTTGACCTTGGTGCCTTCAGTCCGGGTGACAGTGTAACAGGTATCCTGTGCCCCATGGGAGACGCAGTGGGAGTCTTGCACCCTCGGGTGGGGTGGATGGTGGTACCCTCATGTGTTGGTCGCCTTTGGTCTTCCACCACAAGAGTTCATATGTGCCTAGGGAAGGAATTGACATGCTTCGGTATCTACTTTTGACTGAATCCTCTCTCTCTACTTACAAATTCTTCAAAGAAAATTGGATCAAAGGCAGCTTGGTTCTGCATACCACCCCTGTTTCTCCCACTCAGAGTAGAGGAGACTGACCAGTTCTGACGGGAGGCCAGCCTGTTAATGAAATTGAGACTTGTCCGGAAGCCCGTCGGAAATTTTTTTTTTTTTTAATATTTTTATTTATTTCTAGGAGAGAGAGAGAGAGAGAGAGACAGCGTGAGCAGGGGAGGGTCAGAGAGAGAGGGAGACACAGACTCTGAAATAGGCTCCAGGCTCTGAACTGGCAGTCAGCACAGAGCTGGCTCGAACCCACGGACCGCGAGATCATGACCTAAGCAAAAGTTGGACGCCTAACCGACAAAGCCACACAGGCACACCCGGAAATTTGATTTCAGGTCCATGGTCATGAAGGGTGACGGTCACCCTGTGTATACATACCTGTGTGATGGTATGGGGCCGTCACTGTTAGGAACACATTTAGAAAACGGAACATTAAGAACTTCTAGAGCTTTTTCAGTACTCTTGAAAGTCATGTGAGAGCCAACCGGCATCTCACAAAATTCCACTAAACAATAGGTGTAGAAACTTTTTGTGAGGTTTCTATGTTAGAGCTAAAAATGAAAACCCACCTACACCTGGGGAAACGATATTCTCACTGCCTGGCAGAAATGGCCACACAGTAAGGCCCAGAAGACGAGATGGTCAGAGTGTGTCTCTTTCACAAATAGATTTGGGAGAGGTCTACAAAACATTGCTGAATAGACGGAGAAGCTCATCGGGAGGTTTGTTGAATGGTTGGATGAGAGTGCAGATGTTTCTAAGCTGACTCAGCTTCGGAAATTTGCTAGATTTTGCTCAAGGGGAAATTATCCACAGAAGTACCTTTTGGGTGAACTACCGACAGAAAAATGTACCCGAGAAGGATCATTCTCATCAGTAAAAGGCTCTAAAAAATAACATCAGTGTTTTATGCGGGGGAGGGAGGGAATGGGAAATGCATGTGCCGTGTAAGCAGTGCTGGGGTGACACTTCTGATGGGGACGAATCTGCGGTTTTGAGACTGGATGTTAGCGATGGGGTCATGGCCACAGGAGAGCTGCTGTGGGAGAGAAGTTGAGGCCAAAAAGACAGGCCTTTTGACACAGTATATTTTTTATATCATTTTGTTCTGAGGAATGATTAAGAAAATCTCTTGTACAGGGGCACCTGGGTGGCTCAGGTCATGATCTCACAGTTCGTGGGTTCGAGCCCCACGTTGGGCTCTCTCTCTCTCTGTCTCAAAAATAAGTATTAAAAAAATTTTAAAGAAAAAAAAAAAGAAAATCTCTTGTACCATGCCCAGGTTCTCTGTTCCCCCGTGATGATTAACTTAAAAGATAATTGGACTTGAAGCTACTTCTCATTTCCCTTTTACAAGGCCACATGCCCCTGTTTCTTTCTCATCCTTTTAAATTCCTATTTGGTTATATGTTTTATAATGTACATGATATACCACTACAGAGGTACATGCTCATAATTTATAAATAAATATGCATATATTGTAGGTGCCTTCCTATACCTTTTCCACTCCTATGGGTTCAAGATCACACCATTTGGGGACCACTGTAGTAGAAGACAGTAGTTAAGAATTTAAATAGCTGTCAACTGGGAAGGAAAGAGGATCCACACACTGATTTTTTTTCAAATGATGACTGTTACTCAAAAATTAGTTTTTAAAAAGTGCCTCCATGAAACTGACTCTAAAATTCACAATTTCACGTTTAAAGGATAAATTACTACTTTCCCAAGCAAGCTAGCCAATTCAAACATTCTTTTGGCAGAACTTCTTTGAATGCTGATTTGTAAGATGCAAGCACTTTAGGGGCTTTTTTGTTTTGTTTTGTTTGTTTTGCTTTTTTAAAGATTTTGTTTTTAAGTGATCTCCATAGCCAATGCGGGGCCCGAACTTACAACCCTGAGATCAAGAGCCACACATTCCACCAACTGAGCCAGCCAGGCACCCCAAGAGACTTTAGTTTTTAAAATACTTCTTTCTTGGGACGCCTGGGTGGCTCAGACAGTTGAGCATGTGACTTCAGCTCAGGTCATGATCTCACAGCTTGTGGGTTCAAGCTCCGCATTGGGCTCTGTGCTGACAGCTCAGAGCCTGGAGCCTGCTTTGGATTCTGTGTCTCCCTCTCTCTCTGCCCACCCCCCCCTGGCCCCCACTCACTCTGTCTTTCTCAAAAATAGACATTAAAAAATTTTTTTTAAATACCTTCTTTCCTCTGTTCTACCTCCACATCTACAGATACGATCATTGTTTACTCACACTCTTGCTGAACAATCACTGAAGCTCTTAGACTGTGTCTTAATCCGTCTTTGTTTCTTGCCATCTGCTGGTTTCTGTACCCCCCCGCCCCTGCTCTGCCCGGCCCGGCATCGGCATCGAGGCTGTATGCGAATATTGCAAAGCTGAGCAGGGCTTTGTCTACTGAAAATGTCTGCCGGAAACTCAGCTCACGTAGTAGTTCGAGCTGGAGAAGGTTATTTTATCGTGTCTGTTTCGCACTTAACCCTTACAACCTAGGACATAACCTGGTCTTGAGAACCAGGGTGTGGGCGAGTGGCTGCTTTTAACTAGAGTGAATTAATCCCCGCAGACAGCTACAGCTGTTCCGCTCCGCAATTTCCACACATGGCTAATTTAATTGCACCGCGCACACTGTCCCAGGCATTAATCTCATCAACCAGTGACTAACAACCCATGTATAATCCTAAGACGGAAACTAGTGAACTTATAAGTAAAAGACATACCTTAACTGTTGGTCATTTCTCCCTTTCTCTCTTGATTCTTGTTTTCTAAAACCATGAAGCATGGATTCTGTGTTGGAGAGCATGTAAGGCCGTTCCGTGGATACATGCTGGCTGGTAAATTCATTAGTCATTTAATTCACGTGGCTCCACACAGGACTGCACCTCAGTCGTGCACCTAGACCATCCTGGATACAGCTTTCTGTCATCTGTAAGCTGTATTCTGAGTTCCTGTGGCTCACTGGGCAGGGATCCGGGCTGTCTCTCAATAAGCAAATAAGTCCTGTTCGGTAGTTCAGTAAAATAAGTTATTCTTTCTAGCTCACGTATCTGGATTCCGCTTTCCCATCTTCGAGTAGTTTTCATTGTACAGACGTAATTGCTGAGACCAGTGAGGAGCAGTGACGTGCCCAGGGTCACCTGGCCCTGGCCTGGCAAAGCCACAGCAGAAGTAGGTTGTCTGACCCTGGGTCCGGGACCCTCCCCTGGCTGCATCTTGCCCGTGGGCCATCCTCCGGAGAGGCCGTGCGTCACAATTAACTGGCCTGCCAGCCGTGTTCGGCGCTTTCCCAGCCAAGTGCTGGTTTAAAAATTCATGACTGCTTAATGGACATTTCTATTTCCTGTGAGTTAAGCCATGCTTTCCCCCCACCCCTTTCTTCTGTGATAGAAATCTGACATCCAGGACCGCATTTGCTACAAGACCCAGCTGTACCAGATAGAGAAGTGCAGGCCCGGCAAGGAGCCCTATGAGGTGAGTGATCCCCGAAAGCAAAATCCAGGATCGCTTAGGAAGAGTGAGTTTCCATTTTGAGAGCAAAGTGGAAAGGAAACCAATTCTTTTTTTTTTTTTTAATTTTTTTTTTTTTTATGTTTTATTTATTTCTAGGAGAGAGAGAGACAGCGTGAGCAGGGGAGGGTCAGAGAGAGAGGGAGTCACAGACCGAAAGAGGCTCCAGGCTCTGAGCTGGCAGTCAGCACAGAGCCCGACGCGGGGCTCGAACCCACAACCGCGAGATCATGACCTAAGCGAAAGTCGGACGCTTAACCGACTAAGCCACCCAGGCGCCCCGAAGGGAAACCAATTCTTGTGGGACATGAAAGGAGCAAAAGACAAATACTTAACTAGGCCCCCAAAGCAATGGTTTACAGCTGAGCCACTGTCTCTCAGTTGTTAGACTGTGGTTCTTAGTTGTGGCCGCACCCTCGCCTGGATGTGTGCCCAGCCCTAACTGGCCTTCCCCTTCTCCGGGAATGCCGGGCCCACCAGCCAGAGCTGGGCAGTCCGCACTCGGAGGGGATCATGCCACTTCCCTGCTTCAATCAGCAAATGTTTCCTGAGCACCTGCTGCATGCCAGGAGTGCCTTCTTAACCTGGGAGGCACAATCGGTGACATGTCCACCGTGTCACAGATGAGACTGTGGTCTGCTGGCCTCTCCAGCCTCGTCCCCCAGGCCCACATGCGCAGCCCTGCTTCTCGCTCTGTGCTCAGTCCTATGGGCCTCCAGACTTCTGTGCTCTCTTGGATCCCAATGCCATGCACACCCTTCCCCCTCTTCCAGAATGTTCCCCTCACCTCTCTTTGCTGATTGCTATCTTATGTCTTTAGATTCCAAGGCGGGGTCATTTCTTCCCCGTCGCCTGCCATGTTCTGACCTTTGCCATCAGATCACATCTCTCCAGCACAGACTGTTACTCACCCTGCCCCCGCATTCTGCATCCCGGGGTTTGCCCCATTTGCACGTTCTGTTTGCTCAGGGAGTGTTGGACTCACATTTTTCTCCTGCTCTGGAGTGTGAGTGCTATGAGAGCAGGGACTGTGTCCCTTCTGCTTCTCACAGTATCCCTCGAGTCTACGCCATGCCTGGCATCTGCTAAATGAACAAAGGAAAGAATCAAGTGGCCCTTTCCTGGGGTCTCGGGTAGAATAGCATCCCCAAGGGGGGAAGGCGGAATGGTCCAGGAAGCACACATAGCTTGACCGAAGCAAGGGAACGCCTGGGGCGTGGCGTGTAAGTCATGTTATCCTTACAGATGACCGTGCCCTCGAGCAGGGAGGGCTGTGTCATGGTCACGTGCTTGGAGGGCTATCACCTCGGCTGGGGTGCAGAGGACGCAGAATTCACGCTTAGGCTCCCTTGCCTCTGAGGCTGCATTTGACTCTTTAGAGCCTCAAGTAACAAGACGAACAGATGCACCCAGTGTCCCGCCTATGTGCCCTACGTGGCCTCTGCTCCACTTCACCGACACCCACATCCTTGGATGCCCTTGAACCTGACCCCCGCGCTTGTTTGTTTCAAAAGCATCTGTGATGGGAAAGGGGCCTTTTCTTTCACCCCGATTATTTTTCTCGGATGATTATCTCATTTGGCCTGAAAACACATGGCGAGCATTTCAAACATTCGTTGAAATATTTAACGGTTAGGGTTTAAATAGGAACACTAATGGGAAGAGAGCATTTCAGTTTTTTGTGATCCATTTGTTTCCTCCAAACGGCAGTGATACTTGTGCTAATTAAATTACAGGCTATTACTAGGCTCCGCTGGAACCTAGAGAGTGGAATAGGGCCAGCTAGGAAGTGTTAGGAGGATCCGAAAGGGCCCAGGTTTTCGAAGTAAAGCCCACTCAGAGTGTCCGTGGGCCCCTCTCCAGTTGCCGTTGGCTGGTCCGGGAGAAGCTGTAGGGGGTGGTTGGGTTTCAGGTCACCCGCAGGCTGGCTGGGGAGTGGCTCGGGGCCATGTCCCTGCGCTGGGACCGAGCGTGGCCTCTCTGCCGTTCCGAGTCCCAGTTCTTTCTCTCCTCCGAGACAAAGCAGCCGAATTAAGTTGCAAAAACCTCCCCCTCGGGATTACAGTGCTGTTATTGTACGACTTTACCACGTCCTCTGCCTTTAAAAGGTGGCGGGTATGTCTGTAAAAGTGGGACACGTGTCTCGTCCAGGAGCACCTCGAGCATGGGCCCCGGGGACTCGTCTTCCTAAAAAAAAAAAAAAAGAGGCCTTTGAGGACTGTGGAGGTGGAGGCGGTGCAGGGTGGGGAGGGATAGTCATCATTTTTAAGCTGGCTTATTAAAGCCACCTAGAGCCAGAGGCCATTTTTGTTAAAATTAAAAAAAAAAAGTTAATTTGTAGAGCCGTGGAAAATAGAGCGGGGAGGGCTTCTGTGCAGCGCAGGGTAACGTAGCAGGCTCGGAGGACAGCTGTGCGAAGGTGCTGGAGGGACCGCGTCGGTGTGCCAGCCGCCGGAGCAAAGCGCCACACGTGGGGGGGTCGGGGGCCCTAAACAGCAGCCATTTTACGGACTCTCAGTTCTGGGGCCGGAAGTCCGAGATCAAGGTTGCTTCCCTCCATGGGCTGAGGAGGAGAAGCTGTCCCCACCTTGGCCCCTGCCTCCTGGCTAGTGCTGGCTGCTGACATCTTTGGGCGTCGTTCCATGGCTTATAGAAGGAAGTAGCACCCTCATCTCTGCCTGTGTCTTCCTGTGGCCTTGTCTGGCTGTGGCCTCTGTGCCCAGTTTCCCCCTTTTATGAGAATCCCAGACCCGCTGCTCGAGGGCTGGGTTACCTCTGCAAAGGCAACACCAACAGGCTCCCTCCCCAAAGGCAAAGGAGAGGGAGCTTTCCACACCCTCCCTCCCTCCCCCCACCAAAAGCATCAAAGGGGACACCATAGGCCTGTCCTGACCCTGTCTTCAAAGAAGCTCACATTCTGAGCTCCTGGCGGTTAGGACTCCCCACGTACCAGTTTGCGGGGAAGACAATTCCACCCACAGGAGGGGCAGTAAGCTAGAAGGTAAAATACTAAAATGTTCACTCTGTGTCTTATTTCACATCAACGCAACTGGTACAACTAGTTTGAAATCAGATTAGACAGTCAGTGCTGTTGGAAATGAGAAGGGTAGTTAGTGCCCTTTGGGGACTGGGAGAGGACTCAGGCGGGGCCATCTGGGTCCTGTATCTTGATCCGGGTGCAGCTCTCATGCATGTTTTTGCTCTTGGAGAGAACGCATCGATTGAGTGGCTCACTCACTTGAGAGATTCCTCCGTTACTGTGTCTTAGACTTGAATAAAAAACTCACCTAGAAAATCTCTGCAGTGCATGAATTTGGACATTGGCTGCCGGCTTGCATGATGGTTTAGTAGTCTGGTTTCTGGCCTCTAAACACTGAACCAGTCATTCTCAAACCCAGAGCTGCAAGTGGTAGGGGAGAGAGTTTAGGTGAAATAAATAGCAGGTACAGCTTCTCAAATTGTTGAAAATGTTGCTTTTCACAGGCCTCCCTGGACACCTGGACAAGAGACCTTGAATTCCATGCTGTGCAGGTAGGAACTTGGGAGTTATGATGAATTAGTCTGAGTTCTCTAGAGAGAAAAACAGTATGTGTGTTTATGTGTGTGTGTGTGTGTGTGTGTGTGTGTGTTCATGCATCTCATGCTTGGATACCCAGAGATGTTTCAGCTCATACCCCAAGGCCTTCTGGAAGCAGAATTCCTTCTCCTATAGGACACTTCAGACTTTTTCTCTTATGACCTTCACCTGATTGCACAAGGCCCACCCACATTGTGGAGGGTCATCTGCTTTATTCTGAGCCTACTGATTTAATCCCATGTAAAATAAATACCTTCGCAGCAACATCTAGATTGCTTTTGGACCAAACACTGGGTACTATGGCCTAGTCGAGTTGACACTTGAAATTAACCATCACATGTGACCCTGAGGGTCGGTGGAGTCTGGATTCTACATATCTCCATCCTTGTCCTGAATTAAAACACAGAATCCAATTGTGCGTGGGTTTATCAGAATCCCTTCAGATCAGACTAGTGCTTTCTGTGTTTAGTTAACCATTTTCTTTGCCTTGCTGCGACTACACACTCACCTGTGCACTCATGCTTCCACCTCTGCGAGAAGCGGAGTGTGCAACAGTCCAGAGCTTCCCAGCTACGTGGCCTAATTTATGAACCAAGTTCTCTTTTTCTCAGATGCACTGTGTTTTTCCTATAGCAAAATCAGGTCTCTGTGGCTTTTCCAAAATAGCTGGCAAGCGATGCCTGGGCACCTGGGCCACCCCAGGTGTTCACAATCCACACCTGGGTCTGATGCTCCAAACAGTCAGAGGAGGTTAGCTCGTCCTCAAGGAGACACAGCAGGCTCCGAAGAGGCCGTGCTGAGCTGGACTTGATAGTTACTCAAAGAAAACAGCTTCAGCCCACGTGCCGACCCCAGGCCCTTGGCTGCGGCTTCACGCTCTGTGGTCAGTTTCCGCCATGTGAGGCACAAGGCAGCTTCCCGGCCAGCAGCCCTTCCTGCAGCCCGGGCTGGTGCGGAGGTGTGGCCCCCCCCGTGCCGGTTAAACGGCTGCATTTGCCTTTCAGACCGTGACGCAGAGGAGGTGTGAGGTTCATGGTTATGCTTGAAGAGCAGACGTCTGGTGGCAGACAGGGAAGCACTTCCCTCGAGGGGCAGCGAGCTGCCGATGGGTGCCCTGCTGCACCCATGGGAGCAGAGCTGGGGAGGCAGGGGAGGGCTCTCGCTCTTTGGAATGCAGGAGGCTGGAGTCACAGGGACGAGCCCAAAGGGACCAGCCCTGGTGCTCAGATGTCAGAGGCCAAGGACTGGTGGGCCCCTGCACCACCACTCCCTGGCTTCTTCCTCCCTTCTGTCCAATGGTCATGACACTGTAAGAATCTTCAGTAGACAGTCCTTCCTGAGGTCACTTTTTTTTTTAAAGTTTAGTTTTGAGAGAGAGAGAGAGAGAGAGCACGCGAGTAGGGAAGAGGAGAGAGAGGGCGACCCAGAATCTGAACCAGGCTCCAGGCTCTGAGCTGTCAGCACAGAGCCTGATGCAGGGCCCGAACTCACAAACTGTGAGATCATGACCTGAGCCTAAGTCAGACGCTTAACCAGCTGAGCCACCCAGGTGCCCTGAGGCCACATTTTCAAAGTGTCCAGTTTGATAAAAGTCTGTGCGCAGGTGCAATGGGTGGAGAGTGCTTTGAAGAAACCTAGAAGCTGTTTTTGTGTGGGGCTGGCTTGGGGGGTGGGGCCCTCACGCGGCCCCCTCTTTGATCTGCCTGGGGGAGCTTGGGAGGTGAGAGCACTTGAGAATTGGAAGGAAGCCAAAGAGGCCGTGCTGGCAGCTGGATTGCTGGGAGGGGATTGCGGAGTGGGTGTAGGCACATCGAAGGGGGAACGTGATGAGTCCCTCTGAAGACTGGTTTCTGGTACATAAGGCGGTGGAGCATCCTGTCACCTGGAAAGTGTCACATGGAGAAACTAGCGCATGCGAATGACAAGGTGTCACGGGATGATGGGTTGTGTTTGGTCACCTGTGCCTGGAGGGCACGGAGGTTGGCTGGCTGTACAGACACATGTCTTGCGTGGGCTGGTGGCCCGTCCACACAACTGACCCAGCCGCGTGTCCCCACAGGGACCGCTTGGGTGGTGGATTCGTGGCATCCCCATGAGAAACTGGTCACTGTGAAGCCACCCATTCTTTGGGGCTGGATAAGGGCATTCTGGGAGCTTTCGAGGAAAACACCCAGATGCAGGATCGGGGGATGAGGCTCAACAGAGAGACTCCGGCAGCCCCTGTGGTCACGTCCCCATCCCTCTGCCCTCACCGTGAGCTTTCTGTTTGGTGCCATCCTTTTGTCCGTTCCCGGAGAGTTTTAGAGCCAACAGTGGGCTCTTTCTACAGAGAATTCATGCCCTGTACCCCTCTCAGAGCTAACGAACTCTAGCTGGGTGGTGATGCTGGTCCCCCAGAAACTTTGCGTCTTCGTCCTTTGGCTTTTGAGAACCCAAGGAGAGTCGGGGAGGAGCCGAGATGTAGCCATGAAGCCAAAGGCAGAGCAGCTTCCTCTAAAGTATAGGGATCAATCACAGCAGCCCGAAGGAGACTGTACTTGTCATTCTTTTTCTTTGTGAATATTTATTTGGGAGAGAGAGAGAGATGGAGCGTGAGTGGGGACGGGGCAGAGAGAGAGGGAAATCACAGAATCCGAAGCAGGCTCCAGGCTCCGAGCTGTCAGCACAGAGCCCGACACGGGGCTCGAACTCATGAACCGTGAGATAGTGACCTGAGCCAAAGTGGGACGCTCAGCTGACTGAGCCACCCAGGCTCCCCTGTACTCGTTGCTCTAGAAGACAGCCCTGAAAAGGGGTGTGTGTGTGGAAATCTGCAATTTTATCTTTTCTTCCAGGTACTTCCACAGTTTTATCTACTGTGGTTTTGTAGAAGTGCGTTTGGTTTCTTTTTTACGGTTTGAAGTATAAGCAGGTGAAACAGGTGATTTTTCTCATTAGAACAGAGGCATTAAGAACAGCATGAGAGGAGGAAATTTTTCCAGACTTTTCAGGGCAGGCCTGTTTTGTCCCTTTCGATGCTTGGGGCCCAGAGTGTGTGTGACAGCTTGTTCCCCCTTGTCTTAGAGAAGGGGCTGTTGGCGATTCACAGAAAGGAGAGGGAAGTGGTGGAGCACCATGGCCTTGACCCCCTTTCCCATAGGCGTCTTGCATAATGACCTGGCGCCCAAGCCTCCTCCCAAGAATCCCGGATGCCCACCGGGAGCCCTGGGATATACAGCCTGGTCCCTGTCCCTCGCCACCCGTGCGCCTGCCTTTCTCTCTGCCCGGGACTCGCCCTGCCCCAAGCTTCCAGAGGGCGTGAGTTTTCACTCGGCTCCTGGGTGAATTATTCAACCACTTCTGGCTGTTCCCTGGTCCGTGACAGGGTGACGGCTGTGCTTTGTCTGAGGTCATGCTCTCCGTGCAGCACCCGGCACTCGACGCCCGGTAAAAAGGCCAGCAGTGGCTCTTCGGATGCTGGGGAGGGAGTTTGCGAAGCTTCACCCCTCCTTTCCTCCCTCCTCAGCCCTCCACTGGGGACGGCCACGGCAGCCCAGGTTTGGGTCCCTAAGGCGCCCGGGGCCCTCACGGTGACCCTCAGGCGTGGTGTGGCACTCCCACTTCCCATTTCTCCCACTGCTTTCTCCCACCCGCTGACTGGGCAGCGTGAACCCCAATCTGTACAGGCTTTGAAAATCCTCATTGGAAAAGGGCTGTGTGAACTGGGGGGTGGGGGGGTTGAGGGGGGGTTCCTGGAGAAGCTTTTCAAGAACATCAATGAGGAACAGATGAACTCTCTTGAATTGCAAATGCTCTTCACGGTTAAGGCAAAAAATATGAAGCCAGTGGTGAGGTCAGGGACACGGTTGAATCTGTTTTACAGTAAACATCAAATAGTCTTTAGGGCCAGAGAAGCAACTTCTCAGTAGTACCCCCCTTCCTGGAAGCTGGAACTCAATTTTAATTCCAGTCGGGTTTCACTGGCTTTTCTTTTCTTTTCTTTTCTTTCTTTTTTTTTTTTTTTTTTAACATTTCACTATTTATTAAGCCTTCTCCATGTGCCTGGCTTTATACCAGAGGCTGTGGGGTCGCAAATACGTGAAATAGTAAAATTAACTCCGGTCAGAGGGATTATGATAGAGTTCAGTAAAGGCAAGACTTAGAGCAAAACCGGCGAAATGGTGACAATTTTAATCACACGAGCAAGGGCTTGCGTGACCAAGGGCGGAAGAGGGTCAGAAACTCACCCAGGATGGCCCCGGGGTTTGCTGCCCGCTGCCTTGGCATGACCTAACACACACGAGTAAACATTGGGGTAGAAATGGTTATGTTTCACTTGCGAAGTCACCTCTGCAGAACCACTGTCGTGGGCAGAATCCTAGAGCCCCGTTCCGAGTAAGACCACAGGCTTCCAGAAGCCCTCAGGGGCTTTGCTCGGGTTCCTTCACCTTGTTCTAGAGCAACTCACCTCCCAGGGGTGACCTTGCCCTTGCTGGAACACCTTGAAACAGGGCCGCGCGGAGAGCTGGGGATGACGGGAGCCTGCTTGTGGCCCCGGGAGAGGGAGGTGGGTTCCCCGGGGTACCCGCTGGGCCTCGGCCCTTGCATCATTCAACATGCAGTGAGGACGGAGTTTTGAGAGGCTGGGGCTTCTCAAGTCCACTTGGACAACTCTTCAAAGGGGAGTCACGTTGTATATGTCTGTGTGTGTGTGTGTGTGTGTGTGTGTGTGTGTGTGTATACGTCCGTGTGTGTCTGAGCGCATATGTTGGCTTCTGACTTGAAGGATGAAAAACCCAAAGAACAAGAAAAGCGAGGGGATTTTCTTCATCGGCCATTTTCCAAGAAGCCGGACCGGAACCTGCCGTCGCACAAGCAGCCCTCAGCCTCGCTCTCCACGCACATCCAGAACACCAAAGCCCTGCTGAAGGACCGGAAGGCCCCCAAGTCCAGCTTCCCCGACAAAGGTGGGTCAGCTCAGGGTACGGTCTAGGCCACTCATGTTGAGCTGCGTGGCCACCGCGTCCCCCTACCGGGGGGCTGTGTGGACTCCTGGGACATGTGTGATTCCTGCGCCCGGGGAGAGCTGCGAGCTCACCCAAGGCAACCCAAGAACAGTCAGGGTCCAGACTGTGTGGTAGTGTCCCCTGGCCCCCGTGCAGGCAGGATTTGAGAGAGCAGAGGTGGGGGGCACTGCATTGTGGGAGCAGAGATCAGGGTACAAGGTATTGCAAGAGTAGAGGTTGGGGTGCACGGTGTCATGGAGCAAGGGACGGGGGTTCAGTGTTGTAGGAACAGAAATTGGGGGTCAGCGGCATAGTGTTGTGACAGCCTGCACAGAGCAGTGACCTCCCTCCCTAGGGGCCCTGAGCCCGGGCTCCGGGGTGAGGGTGGGGGACTCAGAGCCAGCTCTGTGGCTGGTTGTGAGCTAAGTTCCTTATTATCCAAGAATCAAAATTGGTTTCCCTACTGGCGAAAGGAAAGCCACGTGTCGGAGCTCCCAGGTGGATTAAATGAGATACATAGGTTGGTTTGTCCTCTTCTTTCAGAGTCTAGAACATCAGGTAACTGGTGACTGTGAGGCTCCCTCCTCTGGGACAGCACTGAGGGCTGTGGAGAGGAAGCGAGGGAAGCAGGAGAGCGCTGGGGAGATTCAAGCAGCACCGAGCAGCGGAGGGATTACCCTGAGACAGACCTGGTTCTCAGCCAGAGAGGAAAGTCCCGTTTGATTCCGTTTCCTTCCTGAGGTTTCAGAAAGGCAGGGAGTCTCACAGGAGGAACCCTCTTGTCCCCCATGAGCGATTCTCCTCTCTGGCTCTGTCAGCAGCAGCAAATCCGGGCCCTTGAGAGAGACACCCCAAGGATGGCCCCAGAGAAGTCTAGGTCAGTGCTGATACGCTGGATAACTTCGCCACCCCAGAGATGGATTCCGTTCCTGGAAGTTTCCCGGGCCAAGTATCATTTGTGTCCTTGAGTCTTTGAGGTCTTCACCCCCGGATCGGAGAGCATATTAACTCCGAGGCGTGGACAACCTACACAGTTGCTACCACTGAGCACGCACTGCGGGGCAGGCACTGTTTCAGGCCCTCAAGTCACCCCAGTGAGGTTCTCCTTGCCTCCGTTTCTAAAGGCAAGGAAAGAGGCAGAGAACTGGCCAAAGTCAGGGAGCTGGTAAGTGGCAGAGTCCGGATTTCCAACCCGACCGCCTGGCTCTAGAGCTTTCTCTCTTGACTGTAGGCCGCCGCGTCCTGCTAGGGACGGGTGATGAGGAGCCAGCCGGTGTGCTCACATGGTGGGGCAGGTGACATGTCCTTCTGGCCCAGGGTGATGCAGTGTTCGGGCCAGTGCCCCCGGAGGGGGGGGTGCCGGCTGACTCTAGGTGGAGATGAGCCTGGCCAGTGTGGGAGGCTCCCTCTCAGGATCTGCATCTCCCAGGAAGGGAAGGATGCAGGACTGAGCAGAGGGGGACCTTGGGCCCCAAATGAGGACACGGGCATCACAGGGAGGGGAGGGGACGAGATGCTATGGGGCCGGCTGACACACCGGATATGTCCGTCGTCAGCCGCTGATGAAAGTTTGCTTCTCTCTGCTGGTGAGTCTCAGGCATCCGTGGTGGCCCGAGGAGATTTATTTCAGGATCTGTGTATTTATTTATGTGAGGTGAAGAGGATGCCCTACGCCCTTGGCTGCTCCTGAATCACTCTGCTTGTTCCTGCAGCTGAGCCTCAACAGGGGCCTAGAAAATGCAGTGGCAGAAAAACCAAGCTAAGGGGCGCCTGGGTGGCTTAGTCGGTTGAGCGTCCGACTTTCGCTTGGGTCATGATCTCTCGGTTCGTGGGTTCGAGCCCCGCGTCGGGCTCTGTGCTGACTGCCAGCTCGGAGCCTGGAGCCTGTTTTGGTCTGTGACTCCCTCTCTCTCTGACCCTCCCCTGCTCACGCTGTCTCTCTCTCTCTCTCTCCTAGAAATAAATAAAAAAAAAAAAAGAAAAGCCAAGCTAAGACAGAACTTGTTCCACAGGAACTTGGCTTTCTTTCCCTCGGCTTCAGATCTGTGGGGTTTTCCCTCTCTCTTCTGGCACAGTCTACAACCCTGGAATCCAGTCTGTGCCAACTTGAGATGGAAGCTGGGAGGGTTGGCTCATTGCCTTTCAAGATACAGCTGAGGACTGGTTTCACCCCTGTCACAACTGGATGAGGCCCCAGTAAGATCAGGAGTCAGGAAGGAACCCTATAAAGAACGTAGGTCCAGACACTTGCTATTACGCGGATGAGCAAGGGGGACATTCGGCTCAGGGAAACGAGCCAGTCACAGAAGGATAGGTACCATAGTGTTCACTTATACGGAGTACCTAGCAAAGTCAGATTCATAGACGGAAAGCACGATGGAGGCTGCCAGGGGCTGGGAGCGGATGTTATTGTCAAGTGGGTCCAGAGTTTTAGATTTCCAACACAAAGAGTTTTGTTTTCCAACAATGTGAACATACTTGACACTCCTGACATTCGCTTAAAAATGGTTAAGATGGTAAATGTACGTTATGTATTTTTTTTTTTTACCACACACAAAAAAAATGAGGCATCAGGGAAACCCTCCTTCCAGTGTTGGTTATCTGAGGACCAAGTTCACCAGTGCTCAGCACGCTGGGCTGGGTGCGCCCCTAGCGGTTTGAAGGGGTACCTTTTTGATGCAAAGACTCGGTGGGGTCCAGCATGTTAAGCAACCAAAAGGAGAGCAGATGTTAAAGTGGTGCCGTGGGTACGTCAGACCTCAGGAGGCCTCCTGTCTCTGGCCTTCTGTCCCCTCCCTTCTGGAAAGAGCATCTGGTCCCCTCTGGGGGTCGCCGGACGCAGGGGCCCTTTGCTTCTGGGTTCCTCCTGGCCTCCCCGGGAATGGCCTGTCTGGGTGAAGCAGGACGCGCCGGCAGTCAGGAGGGGGCGCTCTCACTGCCGTGCTCATGGTCTCCTCTGCTTTTTCGTGTGCAGATGCCTTCGGCTGCCACAGCATCTTCCGCAAAACTTCAGACTCCAACTGCGTGGCCTCCTCTTCCATGGAATTCATCCCCGGCCCGCCCCCCAGGACCCCCAGGGTCGTCAAGAAGCCGGAGCTCCCTCAGCAGGGCCCTGGGGGCCCTGGCATCTCCCCCAAGGAGGACCCCCTGGTGCTGGATATGGTGCGCTCCTTCGAGTCGGTGGACCGCGAGGACCACTCCGACCCGCTATCCCCGTCTCATCACTATCGGATTCTAAGCTCGCCTGGGGGCTTGGCCCGCGGGAATCCCGCTGAGCGGACGCTCTCCCCGGCCCTGCTGCCCGGAAGCCTGTCCCCTCTGCAAACTCCTTTGCATCCCACCCTGGTCTCCTTTGCTCACGAAGAGAAGAGCAGCCCCCCGAAGGAGGAGGGCGTGTGCTCCCCATCTCCGGCTCCCAGCAATGGTGCCACACAGCCCCTGGGGAGCCCGAATTGCGTCAAGAGCCGCGGCAGGTTCCCCATGATGGGCATCGGACAGATGTTGAGGAAGCGACAGCAGAGCCTGCAAACCCCCGCAGACCGGCCCCTGGAGGCCAGCATGCCCCCCCTGCAGCCCCTGGCCCCCGTGAGCCTCTCCTTCGACATGCCCGATGGGGTCAAAGGCCAATGCTAACCTGGGCCAGTGGCGGGATTCTGGGTGTTTCTAAGGACGGCAGAGCTCTGCACATCCGTCAGGGCATGCAGATTGAAAGGCCTCATGGGAGCCTCCTTCAGGGTCTCACCTCCTGCCACGGAATGTCCACACCGTGAACCGCTAAAACCCACACACCCGAAGCCCGCACACCCCAGGCTTGTGTAGGGACCCCGGAGACGCTGGGATCTACGAGGAGGGGTGGTTACAGGTGCAGTTTCAGCCATTCGGCCACCCACTGACCCTCTGCCCCCCTCTCCCGCCCACCCACTGACCCTCTGCCCCCCTCTCTCTGCTGGGCTGTGGGGGAAAACCCCACACCGGCCGCCGGGCTGCTCGGATCACAGACTGTTGCGAAATCTTTCCTCACTTCGTGATCTTCTCAGCAGTCAGCCAGTCACCTGGGGACTGAAGGCGGCCTCGCTGAGTGGCTCAGCCGGGCCACTGCTCCCCTTCCTCTCACAGAGGTGAATCCTTGCAGACCGTAAGAGCCGGGGAGCCTGCTGCCAGGCCTCCAGCACCTCTGAGGAAGATGGGCAGCAGCCTCCGCCAGCAGCACCCCCCCTCTGAGCGGAAAAGGGCAGCTGGGCAAAGACTGATCCAAACAGTGGGTCCCCCAGTGAAAGGAAAGGGCCGAAGGGGACATGCATCTACCATCTTCTTTTTGTGGTTGAAACTTGCTAATGGTTCAATTCTCTTTTCCAAAGATGGTTTTTCTTTAGGTGATGTCAAATTGAAGTTACGTAATTAAAAAACAACCCAGATGGAGACATGAGAAGCAATTCTACCAAATTCATGTTTTCATGCGCGGATAAGCGTGGCAAGCATAAAAGCCCTCCCACTTGATGTTTTCGGTGGCCGGTGGCCTCCCGTGGCCTGCAGGAGGGCTTGATCGCAGCTAGCCCTGTGTCCTTCCCGTCGCATCAACACAGCCAGATCCTTCTGGAAGGCATAGGCCATGGCTATAGTTGGTTCTTCAGAAAGAGAACATGTTGAGGTTGAATTCGGATGCATTTGGAAGGCACTGTTACCTCCTTGCAGTGCAGTTTCCAAGCTGCCGAGAAAACAAGGGTGGCTTAGAGCTGACCTGGTTCCCTGTGCGCTGCGAGCAGGCTTGTCCAGTGAGGGTCATGTTCAGAAACACAGTGCTGCGTCCCCTCGGGGCAAAGCAGCCTTCCTCGAACACGCCTGGAGTCCACGTCTGGTTTTCATACCTTTTGCCAAGGAGCGAACCAAAGATGTGTCTCCGGTTCCGTGTCCACGCCGTCCCCGTGTGCGCATTCTGTGGATCCCAGTGTTGTCTGGCCGTGTCTAGCAGGAGCCCACTGGGACCTGTCTCCTCTCGGGGACCCTGGGCCCTGGCACGTGGTGGCGACCACTCAGTCATGACCAAAACTGGAGAAAGAAGAATCCGGGCCAGGCTGGACAGCGGTTAGCTCAGAAGACAGGTTACGCAGTGGCTCGGGGTCCTCAGCCGTTGACTGGCCCAGGCGTGAGCAGACCTGCTGCTGTGGTCACCCCAAAGGCTGGCCCCCTGTTTCGGAAACGAGCCGGGGCCCTTGAGAACTACAAAGCCTGCTTTTGTTTCCCCTGGCAGCCAGCCCACGCCAGGGAGCCCTGGGGTGCTCCTTCATCTCTTCTCTTTTAGCAGCGGTGACCCCCTTCTGTCCCTCACATGTCTGGCTGAGCAAGGAAAAGAGCGGATACCTGGCCGATCCTGGACACCACTGAGGGGCCCGGGCTCAGCTCACTTCGTGCGACCTGGAGCTGCTGTGTCCCACCTCGCTGGGGTCATCCCGACTCCAGGGCTCCTTAGGAAGGAGTCAGGCTCCTGGCTGTTGGCGTTACTCCTCTGTATGGCTCCAGACCAGGTTCCAGAACTTTCCATTGAAAATGGAGCTTTTGAAGCAGAGAGAAGAGAAGCATCTGAGACCTCTCTCCACTTGACACGAAGCGTGTCTGTTTTTTGATCGGCGAAGGGACCCTTTTTGAACATCGTTGCTGGCTGCGTCGTGCTCTGCCAATTCGCGGGCTGTGTCCCTGTGCCTTGTGAACTTCTGTCCCTCTATGTCTCTTCCATGTATTGTACTTTCCTTGAGAACGTGAGTGTTTTTCCGTGTCGCTGTTAAGCTCATTGGGACATGCTTTCTGCTCCTCAGTTCAGGGACAGCTGCAGACTGTTGCACAACTCACGGACCGTGTCCCCATTGGTAGCTTGAACTGTGAACTCAGGTTTATTCCAGATCCAGCGAGAGGTGAGAGTGAGGAAGGGGGGAGGGATCAACTGTATTTTTTTGTATGTGAGCACCTGACAAATCTATGAAAGCGGAAATGTTAAATTCTTTATTATTTTATTATATTTATACGGGAAACTTGACTGTCCCTTTGGTAAGTACAAAGTATGTCGTCCTTTTGACCCATGACTGTCTCTCATTAGTCTGTGCCCATGACCTTGGTCAGCTTGTAGTTACTGACCTCGATCAGCTTGTAGTTACTGACCTCGGTCAGCTTGTAGTTACTGATGGAAATGACTGAACTGTCACCGTGTGAAGTCCAGGAGGAAAAGTCCGCTTTAATTGTACGATTTGGTCACAAGTAAGGACTGTATTTATGTCACCATTATTAAGTATATGTACTTTTATAATGACTGTGAAATACACTTTTCCCTCACTATGCCTGCCTCATTCATTTGCATGTGATACATCTCAAAACACTGAGTATGTTGCAGTCGCCCAGCTGTCTTCTAGTAAAGTCCTTGGCCCTGAAACTGATAGGGGCCCGCCCCCCTGACTCGGTGGAATTGCCCTGGGGTTATTTGAAGGCATCTGTCTGCCCTCAAGGCACTGCTTCATTTCACCTGTAGCACGTGTGATCCACACAAGTCTCCTCTGGCCGACATACAGCAAGTGATGATTCAAGAAAAATCAGCATTTGCTTTTTCTGTCTTAGCAGGTTCAGGACCTCTCCTAGATTCTGAAAAGGGCACATGAAAAGTGACATCTGAGCATCTTCTCTAGCTTCTGTCCTTGCTTTAGGGATTGGTGAGGGATGGGAAAGAAAGGAGATGAGGTAGAATAGGAGGGTGGCATTGTCCCAGCTCTGACTTTGTTCGTTACCGTGCTCGGAAGTTTTTCGTACATAACCACCTTGCTGAGACCCTTGGGTCCCCCCCGGGTGGTGTGGCTTAGAGGCTGGCATGGTAGAAGTGAGGTTTCTCTGAAGTTTGATGGGGTTGGGAGGCAACGATGAGTATCTAGTTTTGGTGGTGCTGTTTTCTTTTAGGGAGCAGAGCATTTTAGAACAGAAAGAACGAGACCTGAGATTTGGTGCTTCAACTCCAACTTTTTTTAATTAAAAAAATTTTTTATGTTTATTTATTTTTGAGAGAGAGAGAAAGAAACAGAGCCTGCGTGGGGGAGAGGCAGAGAGAGAGGGAGACACAGAATCTGAAGCGGGTTCCAGGCTCTGAGCTGTCAGCACAGAGTCCGATGTGTGGGGCTCGAACTCACAAATTGTGAGATCATGACCTGAGCCGAAGTAGGATGCTTAACCGACTGAGCCACCCAGGTACCCCCCTCCCCAAATTTTTTTTAATGTTTATTTTTGAGAGAGAGATTGTGTGTGTGTGTGTGTGTGTGTGTGTGTGTGTGTATATGTGTGTGTGCATGGGGGGATGGGAAGAGAGACACAAAGCAGGCTCCGGGCTCTGAGCTGTCAGCATAGGACCTGAAGTGGAGCTCAAACTCATGAATCATGAGTCTATGACCTGCAATGAAGTTGGACACTTAACTGATTGAGCCACCAAGGTGCCCCAGCCCCAGCTTCTTTGAAGAAGAGAAAACTGGGGCCTTGAATGGTTTAAGGGCTCCCCAGGGTTCCTAAATGAGCTGGTCCCAGAACCAGTCTGGAATACAGGGCTCCTCTCTCAACACTCCAGAAACCAGCACATGGCTGTTCTGGACACAGAGTCAACAGCAGATCGAGCCGTCATTACAACAGGTATCTTTGAGGTCTTTACATAAACCACCAGGTCTAGGCATTAAAAAAAATTTTTTTTAATGTTTATTTATTTTGAGAAAGACAAGAGTGTGAGCAGGGGAGAGGCAGAGAGAGGGAGACACAGAATTCAAAGCAGGCTCCAGGCTCTGTGATAGTACAGAGCCTGACATGAGGCTTAAACCCACGAACCACGAGACCATGACCTGAGCTGAGTACGGATGCGCAACTGACTGAGCCACCCAGGCACCCCCAGGTCTAGGCATTTTTAAGTCATTATCAGAATTGTACAGCTCCTTAAGATTCTGTGTATCCCGCTCTTTCCACCATCTACCACCAACTCTTGAAGATGGAGACTTTTTCTTTCTCAATAGATCTTCCAAGTAAGCAGCAACCCCTGGATACTTTGTTACTTGCTTTGCTATTAGGTGCCCATTAGGTTTTTACTAGATTAGATGTTTTCTAAATGGCCATGTCATAAAAGGAAACAAATTCAGAAAGAGTGAAAGCCTGATATTTTTAAGGGGGGTTCCGGAAGCCTCTTAGTTATTGTATTTGTTTTCTCTGTAGGACCTTCTCTGTGCTACAGGCTTAGTACGAATAATTCACAGCAGTACTGGGAGCCGGTTCAATTTAATGTCATCACTTTTCAATGAAAGGCGCGCATTTCCTGAGTAGTAAATGAGTGTATTATTTGTGGCAGCTTTTTCGTCCAGGGAGCTTTTCAAACATCTGGTTCCAAAGACAGATGGGATACATATTTGAACTTCTTTTCTGGGGACCTGTTTTCGTGATACACGGTTGTCTCTGAGGTCTGATGGTTGTGGCGCCAAGGGACTGGGATGGGGAAAGGCGGGGAACAATTCGGCCTTGGTGTCCCCTTCCACGGGTCTATCTGCATCTGAGCTGATGTGTAGATAAGAAGGCATTTTGGGGACCAGCTCTGGCAGCGTCAAGTAGCGTCATGTGGAGCAAACCCAGGGTTCAGCTGAGGCTTTAGCAATGTGGAACCAAACCATGGCACATGGCAGAGAGGACAGCATCCGGAAGCTGCATTATTCGATGGTGGGAGAAAGAGATGGGTCTCTCTTGAGGGTCTGAGCTGGTCACACAGCATATTCCCCGCTCAGGAGACCCATTATCTCTTCTGCCAGGAAGGTCTTTGGCTCGCGTTATAAACCCTTGAGAATAACGAAAATACATTCTTTCCGGGCCTTGTGGCCAGAGCCAGCCCTAAAGGGCAGGACGCGGGAGCCTGTGTCCAGAACGAGGCTTCTCGTCTGAAGTTAGGCAGTGAACTTGTGGTGGGTCTGAGATGAGAAGGCCTTTTGTGACCCCTTTGCTCGTATTCACCTCTCCTCTGGCAACCCAGTGTGTGGATAGAAGAGGCTTTGCTGTGGCAACAACTTACACCCCCAATGTCTGTGACTTGCCCAGTATGGGTGTATTTCCCATGGTTTGGTGATGCCACAGCGGCCATGTTGGTGCGGTGACGCGGGCCCTTTCCCACCTGTGGCTCCATCCACTCGCCGTGGTCCTCTGGCTGCTACAGCAGATGGGGGGAGGTGAGTTGGAGGGTCCTCAGCTGCCCTCGAGTGCTCTGTGAAGGCTGAAACTAGATCTGTGGCCCTCCTATGAGCGAGAGGCTGAGAAATGTGGGGGCGCCCATGGGTATTTGGGGTCCAGTGACTGTTTCTGCCACAGGGAAGGTAATGATGCTCACCACGTAAAGGCCTCTAAACCTGGACTGGCCTTTTCCGTAGTTACATGCGGAACCCCTTTTAGTGCTGTAAGGATTATCTGTTTTAATTAAAGGGATAGGCTGTGTGAATTATGAACGTTTCATTTAATTTAAGGGAGGGAGTGTTGTGGGCTGAATTGTGTCTCCCTGGATTCATATATTAAAGCCTTAATTCCGAAGTTCCTCAGTAGGAGTTTGTCTTTGGAGACGGGGCCTTTAAGGAGATTAGTTAAAATAAGGCCTCCATTTGGGTGAGATCTAATCCGATCTGACTGGTGTCCTCATAATTAGGGCACCTGGGTGGCTCAGTTGGTTAAGCAGCTCAGGTCATGATCTCACAGTTCTGAGTTCAAGCCCCGCATTGGGCTCTGCGCTGACGGAGCTCACTTCAGATCCTCTGCCTCTCCCTGGTTCACACACACACACACACACTCTCTCTCTCTCTTTCAAAAATAAATATTAACCAAAAAAGAAGAAGAAGAAGAAGAAATTTGGACACATGGAGGGATGCCAGACAGAGGAAAGACCACACGAGGCACCAGAGAAGGCAGCCATCTGCAAGCCAAGGAGAGAGGCCTCAGAAGGAACCTCCAGACACCTTCTTCCTGGCCTTCCAGCCTCTAGTACTAAAGAAAAACCAATTAACCAATTTCTTTCTGTTGTTTAAGCTGTGGCGCTTTGTCACGGCAGCGATGACTAACGTGGCAGGGAGGCCACATAGAAGTACTTACGTGGGCCACAAATCCGATGCTGCATCCCACTGACCATTTTCTTGCAACTAAACTACTCCCAGAAGGTCCCTTTCCTTTTCTTTCTTTTTTTTTTTTTTAAATGTTTTATTTATTTCTACGAGAGAGAGAGAGACAGCGTGAACAGGGGAGGGTCAGAGAGAGAGGGAGTCACAGACTGAAACAGGCTCCAGGCTCCGAGCTGGCAGTCAGCACAGAGCCCGACGCGGGGCCCGAACCCACGAACCGCGAGATCATGGCCTAAGCGAAAGTCGGACGCTTAACCGACTAAGCCACCCAGGCGCCCCGGTCCCTTTCCTTTTCTGCGGTGAAATGCCACCTTCTCAAGTGTCCCCAGGCGGCTAGGCCCCGGTGCCAGTTAGTTTCAAGCGTATTACTTCCTTTACTTGAGAGATCCACAAACTTTTTTCTGCACGGGGCCAGGTAGTGAGTATATTTTATGGTCAGTGGATGACCGCTGCTCTTCATGTTTTCAGTTTTGTGTTTGTTTGTTTTTATAACCCTTCCAACATGTGAAAATAGTTCCTACCTGGTGGGCCCCAAAACACAGGCCACAGCAGACTTTGGCCCTGCCACCTTCTCCGAACCCCAAAATTAGTGCCCAGAAAGGGGTCACGTTGTCTCTTGCATGTAGGTTTAGGTAGTTTGCCTGGTTCACATGTCCAGGATGTGCACCATACACTACACATGCTCATTTTAGGAACTCACCTCCTCTTGCGATATCTGGGCAAGTAGGTGCTGGGAAGGAGTCGTCCTTCATAGTGATGAACTGGAGAAGGGTCTCGGGAAAGATTTGAGCCTAGGATTGGGAGGTGGGGGGCGCACCTGGTGTTCCTCTTTGCTGGCTCCTTCCTGTGTTGCTTCTAGTGGATTTCCAGGGCTGGTGGCGATCCACAGGTGTGGCCAGGCTCCAGGAGAGCCATCCTGGTCATGAGTCTGCCACTGCCACTCAGTCCCCACCCTCAGATTCATCCCTGCCTTTGCCTGCACAGAATGGAGCATGGCTCAGGCACACAAATCATCTTCCCTTCAAGCCATGGTCCGTTTCTCTTTGTGAATGGCCACTCGAAAATGGGTTCTTGCTGCGTATAAAGAAAGGGCTTCCTGAAGGTCATAGGGAACAAGTCTAAATCTAGAACAGGCGGGAAGCTGAATGACGCCACATTGAGGAATCATCACCATTACTC